TCACTCACTCACTCACTCACTCACTCACTCACTCACTCTCTTTCTCACTCACTCTCTTTCTCACTCACTCACTCACTCACTCACTCACTCAGTCTCTTTCACTCACTCACTCACTCACTCTCTTTCTCACTCGCTTGCTCGCTCACTCACTCACTCACTCACTCTCTTTCACTCACTCACTCACTCACTCAGCTCGCTCACTCACTCACTCACTCTCTTTCTCACTCACTCGCTTGCTCGCTCACTCACTCTCACTCACTCACTCACTCACTCAGTCTCTTTCACTCACTCACTCTCTTTCTCACTCGCTTGCTCGCTCACTCACTCACTCACACTCACTCACTCACTCTCTTTCACTCACTCGCTCACTCACTCAGCTCGCTTACTCACTCACTCACTCACTCACTCACTCACTCACTCACTCACTCACTCACTCACTCACTCACTCACTCACTCACTCACTCACTCACCTCGCCACATGTTGTACGTGTTGTGCGTGTTAGGCGCCCACACAAGCGTACAGGGCCGATATGAGCTAGACTTGTTCGTGGGTCTTTTGTGGCATTTTCCTTATAGCAATGCATGTTTAATGTATCCCACCTATGGGAGAAGGTGAAGAGTTAATATGTGCACTAGTAGATAGACGTATCAAATGCTGAGAATTATAGAACACCGGTGTAACACTGACACTGATCCGGTCGGGATTCTAAGAAGCCTCCGTAGATAAGTAACTCAGGTGTACAGATAGTTCAGAGGCACATTTACCGCGATTTCTCAGTAGCGCCCGTCTTGATTATAAAGTTGCACAACCCACCAGTTGACATACACTACAATGTCACAGCCAACTTCTTGCTTTTAAAGGATAATCTTTTACTTTGCAACGAATTAGCTTGTCGAGGTGACCTTTTTTTCAAAAGTGTATTGCTTTTCAGCCGAACGGGGTTTCTTAGAAAAGGCTTAAGAACACAGAAGAGACGTATTCATATAAAAGGAAAAATCTTTTAACATTGTAGTCATTAGATCTGACGTTAGATATTTTGGAAGATAATGATATTGGACAATTTTATGGTCCAATCAAAGACGTTTCTGTAGCCTTTTAAAGGAGTTATCAGTTGCCCTTACTTTACCCCCACCCCGTCCGCCCATAATCTCCATGTTTACTCTACCCCACCTTTAAAATGGTTATGCCATTAAACGCTTTCCTGCCATCTTCCTTGAGTCTCCAGGTGAGCACCTAGCCGCTCCTCCCACGTCTTGCCCCGGCCGTTATGTAATGTGCAGGATTAGGTTTGTTATAGCGCGTAGGGGGGAAACTCCTACGACAAATGACGCACGTCTTTGGGCCTGACTCATGCCATTTACGTACGTCACTTTTAAGTTGTTACATAAGGTATTTTGTGTCAGGTAGGGGGATTTTCCTACTAGGGATTCCCTCTCATTTGTCGACGTCGGCTCGCCCACTCCCACGCACGTCTACGTGCCCTACTATGGGGATACATCACTTCACGACTTATATAAGAAAAGCCGTGGGTCTTCTGAGACGTGTAAGTGAGGTGAACAGAGTTTAGTGACTTGCTCTTTTGGCATCTTAGAACAAAGCAATTTTATACACTTGTTATTGTATTAGAAAGAGCGCGCGCTTTCCAAGTAGTGCGTCAACTGCGTTCAAATGACTGCTGATTTCGTAATGACAGAATGATAAGCACGTCAGACGTCAGGTGATGCTATAGAGGAAAACCAACGGCCATATCGATGATAAATCACACACCGTAGTCTTATAGAAAATCTACGTGTTATCTGCAGTTATTACGTACACTTGGTCGAATGGTGTGGGTAGGAGTTAAAAGTAGTGATCATGAAGCCATGACATTTCTGGCCTTGGAATCAACGGAGCAGTGCGACCTTCGAATTCTTGCATTGTTTTCTTCTCAACAATTGGCATCTTCATATTCGTCGTATGTTCACCAGATAAGGTTATATAGTTAAACTTACGGCGTGAGGCGCAATCACATTCGTTTGTACGCAGTATTCTTTATTTAAACATTATTACAGCACGAAGTTACGGAGACTTATTTTTACGCTACCAGTTACTCATCACAATATCACGATCATTACAAAATGAAATCCAATAAAAATGAAATACAAAGGAAAATGAATATCTAACACATTGAAAGTCGCAGTATTTACAGCGAAGCTATGATAGCGAGGACCGCCGACATACGGTAATACAACATTTTCCATCACAAGACAGGACTCATTCAAGGACAAGTTCGACACAACCACGACTTCCCCAAAATCACGGCGCCCACAAGTTGCCGTCGTAAATTTGTCGTACGATGTGACCGCGTCCTTACCTCACAGTGACGTTGGCACAACTGGTGAGACCCCAGTGTGTATGTGTGTGTGTGTGTGTGAGTTGTTTATTCCACGGACCATCGCAGATCCCGTTCGCTAATTACAAACACACAGGTCACTGGGCATTAGCTACAAAGTAAAAACTCACCCTGCCACCCCACTTCATTCATTCACTTGTGTCGAAAACGCCCCGCTTATCACAGATCTTTATCGCTCAATTACGAATGTTTTCATTGGAACCCAAAGCGTCTGTCGATTCCACTCTCTCCTTGAGTACAGCTGTGACAATAGTTTCCTCAATAGTGTGGTCTCGTGTCTTCACCAAAGAGCGCATAGCAATACACATGTCATAGGACGTTACCCATACATTTTGAGTGGGCAATGCTAGGATTATGTGTCATGAAATACACAAAACTATGGCTTACTGTGGTAGCTTTACAAGGAGGACTGTGAAAACCCGATAACACGACGTTATTCTAACAGTAGATCTAGTCGTATTTCTGTCATATTTGTTTCTGTGGACAGAAACGATCAACGAAGTGTTCGTGTAAGCCTATTTATTCAATTAATATTTCGCCCCCTACTTCTAATGATTTTTTTCAAACTGCCCTGCAAGACCAATACCATCTGCCCTAGGACGACAGAATGGCTTAATTGTGTTATTTTTCTTTTTTTGTCGAACAATTAGAGACGGGTCCTGTTGGTCTTTTCTTTATGTCCTTAAATGATTTTCACAGTAAGGCTGTTTGAATAATAGAATACAGAAGTTAACGCCAGCAAGCAGACGATATTTAGTTCCCAGTTAACGAGTACTCGCATTACGAAGATCTTGTTTCCTTTAGAAATTTTGAAACACGATCCAGATTGCCTTCTTTTTCCCTTTCATATCTTGTCAACAAAACAGACCTCCCCCACCGATTACCAATCAGCGTGTTTTTGTCACAGGTTACCACAACAGCGGAGAGCGGGATTTGGGCGGCTCATTACGTCATTTTCAGACGACTTGTGGCATTTGGAAGGAATTGTTGAAGTGATGAGTCATATCTCTCCGGTTTTGGTTGACTACCAGTGATGTTATCTGTGGCAGACATCATCATGTTCCGTCTTACTTGTTACAAAATATTGAGAACGCACGCCATTTGTGGAAATATTTCTTATCAGTTGTTTTCATGACAGGTGAATTGCAAATGTGAAACACCGCCTCCACTCAAGCTATTGTTTCCAGTGCCATGGAAACAATGATACACTATTGCAAAATAACAACTAACAAAATAAAAAGTATCTACTTTAAAAGACCTTCAGTATATGCGAATGTACCGGTAGTGCCATTGTGTGAATATAAACAGTAAAGGCTTGCGAGGGCACAGTTTTTCAGTAAGAGGTTTGTAGGGCTTTGTCTTGTTGCAGTTCCCATACCCAACTTAAGAATATCACAGGTGTTACTCAAGGCAATCCAACAAATAAGGCGAATGACGAGAACTCACACTGTAATCGCACATTGTCTGAGAGCAGGGGAAAAGTTTGGCATGGTATTGGCCAAGGAGGTTATGATTGTTCTGTCAAGAAACATGCGGTGTGACTTTTCTTATTTCTTAATTATCTTATCTATCTAGTAGTTGTTGTTTGGGGCGTTGTACATTTCCCAATAATGCAAACTTTCTTTTAGTATCCGTCCTTGCTATCTTATATGTGTTGAGGCATGGGATATTGGAGGAAAACATTGCCCAAATAATTCCATTGCAAACACAAACTTTCACAGTACTTTCCACGCACATAACAAGCCACCTGCCGTTTTCCATACGGTATAAGCATCCCGTAAGCTGGGATGATCCGGCCTCCCCAGGCCTGGCAGCGGCCGCCAGCAGCGGGAACACATGTCCGGATTCAGCGGGATGTACCAAACCGAGCCGCGGCCGTGGGCGCGCGTGTCACGTCCGCTGTGCCTTTTTTGCTGTAGGATTTTCGGCGAGGTTTTGATAGAACCGACGACAAGGATGTGCCACAGCTATTTTCACTGAAAGACGTCAGTTAATATGGTACGACACATCGTCATTGTCCGTAGATTTCCTTTCATTTGCTAGCTGCTGTCAGAAACCTGTATCGTCAGGAAGAACACGGCCCTGATACACACATAACCTGTCCGCAACAAAGAGCGGGGCAACTTTCGAGAGAACAACTGTGTTTCCGATACAACTTGACTGGGGAAATAGGTTATTTATTCCCATTTTTTACTTAAATAATAAAGACTTTTGAATCTGAAAGTGTGTTAATGCAGAACTAACCCCTGAAATCAGTCTAAACAAACCGTAACCTCAACTGTAGCTACGTGTAAGCATCTAAGGGTGACGTATGCACACATTTCATGGTTCCAAGAAAAAATATTTATTTAAAACGCTTTCTCAAGTTTATATCACAACTGTATATGATAATGATATTCTTCCAGGTTACTATTTTGTGAGAGACTGCCCCAGTTCACAGTATACAAAATCTAATACGTCTTTTTTTCAAAACGTCAAGACGAAGTCATGGCAAAAAAATACTTGTAACATCACTCACGTCTAAAATACAGCGTCTGCACTCACAAGGTAGCATTATCTATTCTAACTACAAAACTATACGATTCCATGTACATATACAAACGTCTGAACAATAAAATAGCTTTCCAACAATATAATTGTTGTTTGATAGTTATCTAAAACATGTCAGATTCACATATTTGAGAAGGCAGCACTCAACACAGCATCGTTCCACCAGCCTACCGACTTACTGTACAACGAACCCACAGAAGATTTCCTTTGGCTTTGGCAACTTGCACGTGAAAACGGCACTTTTTGAAGATATTCCAAAAGAAAATGTACCTGTTGATGCATAACTCAGCTGTGTACATTCACGTTCCTATAATATCTCTATTTTCCAGTTCGGCTTGAATACAAAATCCCTCTTTTGATAGAAAGTTTCAGTTAAGTACATTTCAGCACATTTTAGAACAATGTTTTACGAAACTTAGAAAAATGATTAAGATTCCCTTTGAAATATCATCTACCGTAAAAATTAATATGAACCCAAACACCATCTTATTTCTGATGTTTTTCTCCGACTTGGTTCTAAACAGTGTCTTTAACGTCAAGTTGAGCTGTGCCAAAGTCACATTTAGATTCTCCTTCATTGGCATGGTGTTTATATGTTTGTATTCCAATCACTACATAGCGATGCGGCAATCACGTATGGCACTGGTTTGGTAGAAAATAGGCACGTTACACAAAACAGAACAACAGAAACGTGCAATATTGTCCCTATTTGCAGAGGTGTCGACCAACGATCACTGATACTAACTGTACACATTCAAAAATAACGACCGTTTGAAACCGATGGCACACAAGCATACCAGGTTGGTTAGTCCATTCCATAGGTGAACGGCACAGGTGTAAAAGCCGAGGTCCCCTGTCCCACAGCGGGCACGTACTGGTGAGTGGGGCTGGCCGTGGGCGAACCATGACTCGCCGCCTGGCTCTCTGGCCACGTCACGGCAGGAAGGGGGACTCCGGCCGCCGCTGCCGCCGCCTGCAACCGGCCCTGCTCCCGGTTCTCCCGCTCCCGTCTTTCACGAGCTCGGCGGTTTTGAAACCAAATTTTCACCTATAAGAAATAACACATCAGAAGTATGAATATCCAAGCACGATTATCGTTACAGAAATGATTGCTGTAGATGTTCGGACGATTACTTCATAGATATATACTTTTAGACATTAACAAAAACACCTCTATCTAACACTCCAACTGAAGCAAGAAGTTGAACCAATCATTTTAATTTTTCTATACTACGCATCAGCAGCCATACTAAAATGATTTTAGAAAAGTTAAGAAATCTCATGCCACATACAAGTCACAAGCGAGGAAAGGTATCTTGAAAAAAAAAACAAATAAACAAACACACCTATACACAAACACACAAACAAGTGATGGTAGAGCAAAGCGTTTGTCTCTTTTTACTCTCATTTTTTTCTGGTATGTGTGTGCGTATTGTTAATCCACTTTCTCTTCCATTGATGTATCCATCCATATTGGGGATGTGTATTGGTGGAGGTGGCGATCGGGTTGGGGGCAGACAGGAAATGCTTCTATTTCTTCTAATGGTTCTATTTCTTGTCATCAGCAACACACCACACGGATTTGTCAAAAAGCGAGGATTAAGAGATAAAAATCGAAACTATGAATCAGCACAGCGGGAGTTGTTTGCTTCATTCACACCAGGAAAGTTTTCTGCTGGACATTTTTCTTCTTTCACTGTGTATGTTTGACGGACTAAACTTGACTTAAAAAAGACGGGGTAAAATTGTTGACCAAAATGTTACATGAAAATTGCTCTGAATAAAACCTAATCGGCTAGTGCGTTCTATGAATATCATTTCACAAATTAAAGTTTAGACTGTCACCAAATGAAGTAAAATGTATATATCTATATTTAGTGTCTTAACTCTGAATGTCCAGCAAATGAATGATTTTTTTCATAAAACAATTTTGGCTTCGTATCAGAGGTACGTCCTTTAAATTATTTAAATACAAGAAAACAGTGCTTTGATTTATCATCCAACAGTCACAAATAGATTTTGCAGATTTTTTTCAGTATTCTTTAACACTTTGGAATCTGGTTCCTTATTGATTTTTTTGTTCTGTATTACGGGAATGTGGTGTGGGCTGCTGACCAATATTCAAAACGAATTATCTTGTTTGAAATTAGGCTTTTAGAAACATTTTAAGACAAAAAAGCAACCCTACAGTAATGTTACTACATGTATTTGTTGGTACACTTATTATATGGCTTAAAAAATAGAGCTTGTATTGCTATCGTTTCTCAAGTGGCGGAGACAGCACATACACGTACATCAATATAGCTTTTTGTTTTCACAAAGACCTTGGCAGTTACATGCAGCTGTTAAATTTGACATTTTTATAAAGCCTTGTCCGGTGTAAGACTGTCACGCCCGCGCAGCAAACACGGTGAGAGCGGGAGAGAAAAGAAAACAGACGGAAATGTTGTCAGGCATGAGGATTTTCCTATCAACCTTACATCCGCTGTAGTAGACAGAAGAGAAAACATAAAATCGCCGCCGTGATCTTTGTGAATATTCCTACTTTTTCTACTACCGGAAATGTACTTTTTAGGGGAACAGATAAGCACAAGAAGCCGACAGAAGAGTCTGCCTACCCGGTTTTCTGACAGGTTGAGCGCCACGGATAGCTCGGACACGTCCACGCTGCTCAGGTAGTGTGTCCGCCGAAACTTGGACTCGAGCGTCGCGACCTGGTGTGCGGAGAAGGGAACCCTGGGGTTCCGCCCGAGTTTCCTCTTCTTGCTGCCATCTTTTCGTTTGGCACCTGATAAAATAAAAGAGGGAAATAGTTATGAAAACTGCACCAGCGTGTGTAATTTTGCCCCTGTGGTTGTGCAGGTGTAATATGGCGGACAGAGTTCGGTATTTTGTCTGACGTACGGGCGGGACGTAACGTCACAGAGTACGTAGTCATGAGGTGGTGCATGCCGCGAAATTTCGCCATTAAACGAGCACCACACAGTAGCTTGGGTGCCGTCCTGTTTGTATACCTCTCATACTCGCTCCCTATATATGCCCGACTATACCAATAGCTTGGCACCCAGGCTAGCACCACAGCACACTCTCAGTTACCCTTCATAACAACGCTAGAATCAAATCTTTCCAGGAAAATAATATACGATGTCGTTCATAACAGTATAATAGAAGTGTTTCTACGTGTCTGTCCTACATTCTCGTTGCTTCCCCGTGCGCGCTGGTGAAAATAAAAGCATGGCTAAAATTGACGGAATGAACGTGCTTTCAGTCTTATATCAATGCTTTGACGTATATTTTACTGTTAAACACTTCAATATTCATTAAGTCAAAAGCGATAGAATATGGAAAATATGGTGATCACTCTACATAACAGAAACTGTTATACTTTCCAAAGAAATCGAATGCAGCGTTAGAGAGTGATTTAGCTCACGCCACAACCGCGTGGGGTTGAAGCATTTATTACCGAGACAGACAGAGACGCTAGCATTAAGATGAATTTATCAATGGTTTTTCTGCAGATACGACTGTTTGGGCGTAAATAAACCTTGACAATCTGTGCTAATATTCTATCATCAAGCAAAACATAAACTAGTGATATAGTAGTCCGCTGTGGGTTCACTAACCACCCAAAAAACTATCCTAGAGCAAAAGAGACTGGTGGAAGAGGGACTTTCACAATACACAACAGGTTCGAATTCATATATAGTGTTTACTGTGGTGAAACATAATCAATTTGACGGATGCATTACCTGTGAATAGAATTGTTTAATGGTAAAAGAATCATAAAAACCTTGCCTACAACTGGGGCGAGACTTGGAATGACATTTAGGGGAAAACGTATTGGTCTTAGTCCAAGGTGTACCCTCAGTATTGTTGTTATTTCTTCCTAGCGTTGCCATAGAATGACATATATTTCAGATAGGTGTAAAGAATTAATTCCGTCAGACATCGTAGGAAAATATTTTTGAAGCCGTGGGTCTTCAATCATTAATTTTCTGTCACATTACATGTTATCAGAACGAATGTTTTCGGCCTTTCTGTGCATCAAAGAAATGTTGTGTTCAGCGTCGGTGAAAGAGACAAAGGAACGTTTTAAACACTACAAATTGTCCTTAACCCTCTTGCGAAGAGCTGGAGTCGATATAATGTTCTTGGAAGGTATTAATAATTGTCTGAAAACATGTTTATACTCTAGAGGGGTCAGCAGCCCCATGTGTACAGAGTTCTCATTAGTCTGCTTCGTTGGACTCTTAAAGAAATTGTACGCACAAAGAACATGTGGGTTTGACGCCTCTGGCGCAAATATAAGAAACAATGGAAGATAGTCCTGATACAAGCTATCTATTTAGACCACCTAGAAAAAAATGGATCCTACACTGCTTACGGCTCCTTTGAAGTACTGTATTTCTTATGTAAGTGTATTTTCATGTCTTGATGACTAATGAAAAGAAGAATGAACTGGCACTTGATGTGAATACAGGCCACAGTTTTGTTGTGGAGGCGTATAAAAGATTTATAAACACTTACGTGGAAGTTTTGGTGGTTTGTACCGGGTACACTGCAGCCAGGAGAACTGATATCTCGGGTCGTCCATCCCCGGGAGTGATAATGCCCCGTCGGCTGATATGGACGAAAGACTGGTAATTTCCGCGTCGGAGGTTTTGGGGGCCTCGTCCGAGGCCTCCCCGGCGGCGGGCACCCTGGCCTCCTCGCGGCCAGTCAGACCGAGAATCCCGTCAATTGAGAAGTTGATGATTGGCGTCGAGGGGCTGGAATTTGTGCCACTAGCTGCTCTAGCGGGAGGAGAGGCCGGGGATTTCTCCTCGGGGCTCGGGGACCGCTCCGTTGAGGACGACGACATTTCCGTGATCACAACAGGTGGTAGTTGGCGTAGGCAATGGCGCGGGTAGACTGACAGGAGCGGGTCCGGCCGCTGGTATGTACGGGGCAGACCCACAACAGCGCTTGGTCTCACCACGTTCACCCGCGGCACTTGGAATGGATAAAAAGTACAACTACCTCCATACAAGTGGGAGAGGAGTGCCATGGAAACTTGGCAAATATATGCGGGGCTTCCGACTACAAAATGTCACTCAACGAGGAAGTTGTGATGACATCGAAGGTAAAAGCTTGTGTGGCGTCCAAGCCGCGGGGGCGGGTTTAAATAAGTTGTTGACGTGTGATTGTGTTAACAAGGGCTAATTACATTAGGTTAATAGGTTGAGACTGTACTACTTAGGTTCCAATCCCACGGCTGAGGTAATGAGGCTCCCCCCTGGAGTTACTTGTGTTGGGATGACTCAGGACACCTGATCATCCCCCTTTTGTCTTGTCTGTCGGCCCGTCTGACCAAATCCCGCCGACCAATCACAGCGTCGCAGACGATATCTCGACACAAATCCGATAAGGTACAAGACCAGCTTCGGCCTTCACAAACTTATAATTTCAGCCGCCTTGTAATATCATAAAACATTAGAAGACTTACGTCAACAAGATTTGGTTCTTGTATGGCCAATGGAAAAGTCAGGACTTTGCCAGATGTTCCGTTAAAGCTCTCTGTTGTAGCATTCAGACACACTTTTTTTTGCTAACAAATCACATAACCTTAATTCAATGGTTGGGCTAAGCTGTGATTCGATTCTAAGCCAAAATGTAGGATTCTCCACCCACCTGAACAATCTTACCGGAAGAGGGAGTATGCAGTGGGATTGGGATATCAGAAGGACAGACCTAAAGCTTACGTAAACTTCCACAGTTGTGAAGGTTACGATGGACGTTAGCTTTCGTAAGCGGTTGATAGTGGCGTCAGAAATTTCTAAGATCACAGAAACTCTAGGAAACAGTAGCATTTACCTTGTATGTTCAAAGGTAGCCACGTACCGTTTTATCAATACCTACATCTATACTTAACAGCGCTGCGTACCGTAAATGTAACATCGGGTACAGGTACACGTTTACCCACGGTATACTGGACCTGTACCTGTACCTGTACCTGAACAATTGACGAAGGAACTTACAGTCTTCCTTCAGAAATACAGTAATGATGACAAAAACATGAATGAACAGTTAACAGATTAACCGAAATGCTTATTTAGATTTCAGGTATCTTATGCGGAGAACCCTTTCGAGAGGATCTGATGGTGCTGATTTCAACAACCATACAATGTTTTCATATTTTTTTCAGTCTTGATTTTGTCATCCTTGTGGCAGGAGTAAATTTTTGTAGTAAACAAGCAAGTCAAAATGTATACATGAGTTTAACTCTATTCAGGTACAGTACCGGTATACTGATGTTCCGATATTGACCGGTACCTACATGAGTTTCACGGTACTGTATATGTGTCTTGTGCGCAGCATTAACTACTCAGAGTCTATATACGGGCATACGGATTAAAGTTCCAGGAAGGCATTCGACGTCAATCGACTCAAGTCAGTTTATGTCTGAAACAATGTATTAAGGTTCATTAAGTGTGCTTCATCGTCTTTAGTACTACTGACACACATTTTATGTAACGCGTCCAATATTAATGCAACAGGAACTGACTTTATTCTGTCAAATGCAACGGGTATTATATATCTTGCCTGTGATGGGACATTAGCTGTGCTCTTTCAAATTGAATACTTGTTTTTAGGAAGGTTATTGCACATTTGTAATGTGCATGCATCATGAATTGCTTGCATCATCAAGACAAGTCAATAATTCTGAAGCCTTTTAATCCGATAATGAGTAACTATTTTCTATTGTTTTTTCTTAAGCTTACTGATTTGGTAGTTTGGTTGTTTGGGCACTAACGAAGTTTGTGAGTCAGAGGATCAGTACGGGATCGGCTAATCGCTTTTTCTGTTAAGGTACAGCCGCTTAACAGTCTCCGTAGCAGACTCGCCCGAGCTTTTCCCAACCATATCCGAGTTTGTGCTCTTGTACTGGGTTCTGATAGATACTAGGTTCTCATCCTCAGCTGTAATGGAGCTCGAGGGTATTTACCTAAAACCAAGAAAGCTCCTTGCTAAAACTAAAACTCCTCCGAAAACACATGATATGCAGCACGTCCACTATTTGATATGTTCATCTATTATTTAGATAACAATGTGGTAGAGCATGCCCAGGTAAATATCTGGAAAAGAAGAAACTGAACCAGAAGAAGAATTATAATATCACGGGGAAATAATGTATCTGAGCTTTTCCAATAGTCGCAAAATAACATGGAATTTGGCATGAAGGTAGAGTGGCCAAATACCCCCAGGCGTTTTTTTTATTATGTTTTGGATACAGGCTTTTAAAATTGTTTTATTTGTTTTTTTTGCCATTTTCCGACAAAATCTATACATCTGGGGTCCTGCAGACCTGGTGTTACACTCAAATCATCTGAAATTTGTTATGGGTATGCTTAATATGATGTGATATGAATCTTTATTGCATGTTCTTGCCCAGATGGGCTAAATACACATATATATCTACCAACAACAATTCATTATAACGTTTGGCATGCGCCCCTTTAAAATTGTATAATTTGAGACTTTTGACTGTTTTCAATGCCAAATAATGAAGTATACTTACTGTATACCATGACATCATCAGTAAGAAATGCAGAGAGCAACAGCCAATAGGCATGCAGCTTTCGAGATCGTTGGGCTGTTGTAATCTTCTTGCTGATTGGATGCTGGACTAATTGGATTAACACATTGGACACATGCTCAGGATATAGCACATTGACAGCTGAACTGCATTCAATTGTTTTTAGTAGGTTTGTCACACTTTCTTGCAAATAATGTAGGGGACAGCTATCCAACTGTTGTATTCTTAAGTATGTGTCAGTTCATACTATAGTTGTATCAATATAAAGCATTGTTTTCCCTTGTATTTCTCCTTCTTTCCCTGCCATGTCGTAAAATGTGGTGAAGCGATGCTGTATTTGCTCCAAAGCAAATGTGGGCCTTTCTAGTTAAAGTTTTTTTCCAACAAAACATTGTAAGAATAGAACCTCATTGGAGGTACATTTGAATGGCATCGTTCGGCCGTTACATATCATTTAGTGTTATGTGACCAGCTGCCTTTGCATGCCTGCGAAGCTGATGTGTTCTTCCTAAAGACAGTTCTATCAGTTGATCGATTCGTACCTGCATTCAATGATGCAAGTCTTCCGAAAGTAGCGAAATCCGCGAGAACTAACCACAAATGGTCCCGCTGATTCAAGCGAGTTAACCAGTTGGCCACAGATCCCTGGCGACGGTTGGTTGTAAAAATCCTGACTACACGGCCGTTCGTAGTAGTCATGTATGACTATGAATCATCTCGCATGTCTTTACGGTTCCGGTGATCTAGGTAAAACCCATGCAGCTGAAATCCTCGCCGATCTCGATGACATCGCTGATTCTATGATACTGCTTGGAAGACTCGAGAGATAAAGTTCGCACAAAACCTTCTCACGAAAGTGGAAAACTTCATGTCTAACAATATAGTTCTGGATTTACACCATCCTGCAACTGGCAGGATATCATAGTTAACTTTCCAATAAGAGATTTCCATATTTTTTATTGTGAGAGAGGGGCACATGACATCGATCACGACAGTACATACATATTATGTATGTACTGTCGTGATCGATGTCATGTGCCCCTCTCTCACAATAAAAAATATGGAAATCTCTTATTGGAAAGTTAACTAAGACAAGGGTGTTCCTGTCTATTCGTGCATCGAAACAATTCTACCATATATATGGATCAAAACCGTTGGTCCGAGTGAACACAACACGAGTTCCAGAAATCTCAACTCAAAGATGCTGCGTGTCGTATACCATAGGCTATGTACAGTTATACGGAACACTACCAAATGTCACCACGGCATCGTTTCCGAGATGGTAGTAGTCAGAAATACCGCGGCCGGATCCGGAAACAGAAATGTTAGAAATGGGTGTGACCGTAGCAGTCTACACATTGGTCCTACATGTAACATGTACAAAGCTCCAATCAATTATCAAATATAGATTTGTATAAAGAAATCTTTTGTTATCCTACAACTGTGCAAACTTGTGTTCAGTTTTCAACAATAGGTAAATCTCACTTTTATGTACTAGTAGTAGTATATCAAATATACGACATTTATAAAACACGGTGTTGCAAATGTTAGCATTTTCCATAAAAGCTCTGGTTCACTGGACTGACTATACATTTAAATATTTCTCTACACTTAATGGTTAGATTGTCTATAATGCAAACATAGAAATACAAATGTAATGAACACCACACAACGAGAACACTTGTGATATTTTCATAACTATTGTGGCCGAAAATAGTGTTTGCACATGTGATTGTGTGTATTTATATACCCCAGCGGCAGGTGTTTAACAAAAAATACCACTGTATCCAAAAATGATATCCAGATATAGCACGGAAACGTGCCAGAGATCCCTGTATAACACTGTGGGCTGTGGTGTTAGGAATCCGGAGTCTCTTATCTTAAGATCAACTTTATTTTTAGACAAACGTGAGCGCAGTTTTGGCTCTCCCACGAGTTTGGTCGTCACGTGCAGGTTTGACTCGTGTGCACGTGCGCTTACTCTGGGATCACCAGCCAAAGTGTTCCCATCTGGCTTTAAGAATCAATTAGGCTAAAACATCTCACTTTGTGATAATGGTTAAATCACTCCAATCCCTTCTACCATCTAGCCAACATATTGGATATTGACAGGACCTTTCATATGAACGAGGAGAAACATAAATGCTGGCTTTGATCCGCAGTAGCAGACATGGGTTTTTACCAAAGAACACTAAGCCTGGCTTTTAACAAAATTAACTCTGGTTACACCGGCGTATTTTGTTCGGCGGCGCGAAACGTAAAACTCACCCCAGTAGGTATCAAACACCACTTTGATATAGACATATCCTTAGAAAAACGGATATCCTTCACAATTTGCAATAATTCTTAACAGCGCTCAAGGTTATTTTATGATCTATCTGATGGAAACATTCAGATATACGTATTGGTAGATAAGACTGATCTGTATTTAGTTGTGAGGTTTGGACCATTCATATCGGAATATGCACTTCTACACGAATATCGATAAGTCAGGGATGGATAGTTGTAATATAACAATGACATGCTCGGGGTGTGGTTCTCCACAAACACAGAAATGTGTTGCCCAATG